AAAGTTCCCCATATCTACTTTCCTAGTCGTGGTCGGCAGGTGAGGCCGACCGAGCATGGTCTGGGGCGGCTGCATATTGCGGCCGCCGATGGTCATGGCCGACCTGGCCTGCCGGCTGCCGCTGCGGGCGACTGCAATCGCCGGCCGACCGACAACGGCCCGGCCAGTTTTGCGTGCCGACAGGCAAAAATTGTACCTCGTCGTTGAGCATATTTGCACCAGAAATCGCCTGGTTTCAGAGAATTTACGATTTTTTGAGTTTTTTAGAAAAATATCAGGAGCAAAACAATCCAAATAGGGGTCGTACGTAGTAATAAGGGTGCGGTGTTTAAAAACACCCTCCAACAAATGGCTCATGAACATGGTAAATTTTTATTTTTCTAATTATTATTGTACTTTTCATTCAATGTAAGGGTGATTAATATTGTTCTATTTGTTAATGTATTACTCAGAGAACATAAACATATGCATTCAGTGTGAGAAAAACAAGCCAATGTTATATATAGTTAATAAATATACCTTGCTTGGATATATATTTTTCCAAAAACAATTCAATCGTTTTTAACCAATCACTTTTTCTAACTCAACCTCACTATCCTCAATATTATTAATATAATTAAATAATATCACACAATCATTCTTACACATTACTATCTATTGATTAAAAAAAAAAAAATCTTACACATTATATACTTTGATTAACTATTCATCCACTCACATATTTTTAAGTAATCATCACTTCATATCCTCGTTTTTCTACTTTGATGTCAAATCAACTTTATCTATTTTATTTTAAATATTATTTTAATATAAATTCAAGATCTCACTGATAACTAACTATATCAAACCAAAAAATCCAAACAAAATCAAACAATCTTATATCCAAGCGTTTAGAGAACACAGACATTGCTACAGTAAATTAAAACACGTATGGATCACATGTCGTCATCGTGCTCGATCCGAAAAACATATTTTCATTTACATTTAAATACTTTAAATCATTTTTTATTATTTACTTTCAAGTTTTCCTAAGTCTACCCTCCCCTTTTAATTTGCGTTCATAATTCTAATGTTTCTACAATTCTCCGGACCCTCGAAGTCTCTTCTACGCACATACTCAAACCATCTTAATCGTAAATCTCTCATTTTATCTTTTGTAAGTTATCCCAATTTTATTTCTAATACTTTCATTTTTAATCTTATGTAACCTAGTATGCCTATATATCTATTTCAACATTCTCATCTCTGTCGCTGCGTTTTTTTATCATTGTCATATTAAGTAGCCCAACACTCAGATCCATAAATCATCTTCGGTCAAATGGTCGTTCGATAGAACATACCTTTCAAACTCACTAGTACTTTACAATCACAAAGTATCGACGACACGTTCCTCCACTTGTTCCATCTCAATTGAATTCTATGTGTTACATCCTTATTTGTGTTGTCATTATCTTCTAAAATGAATCCTAAATATTTAAAACTTTAAGATGTGTTTAATTTGTGTTCTCCAATTTTAATTTTTATCCTATTATTACTCCTCTGATTACTAAAATTACACTCCATATATTCCGCTTTGACCCTACTTATTTTGAAACCCTTATCTCTCTCCAAGTTTCTAACTTAGGATTTTCCATCTCTCTCGTCTCATCTACAAACAATATGTCACCCACAAACATAAATAATTTTATATATTGTAAAGATTTTGTATATCCATAATAATTTATAAAATAATGTAAATATCTTCATGCTTGAAAGACTTGGACAGCCCAGATTGAAGAAAGGAAAAGTACATAACTTTATAATACTGTAAACATTATTCATGGGTGAAAGACTTGGAGATCCCAGATTGAAAAAAGAAAAAGCCCCGATCAGCCATGCTTCAATTAAAACCTTTCCAGATTGAAATGTGGATAATACAGTGTAATGAAGGGGAAACTGAAATTCATTCCTGTAGTTTTAATTTAATTTAGCAACCAAGCTCAAACATGATGTTGGTATATTCCATTTCGGGAACTAACATAACACCTGCACGACATTGAATCACAAAAAGATGCTAGGGAAAAAATGATAATGAAAAATAGCTTAAACATAGTTCCACATTAACAAAAGTGTAAACAACACCCAAATTCTTTTTACCAACCACCAATCCTAGTGAAACGCAAACGAAAGTCGAATACACAGTTCAACAAATTCACCAACTCAATGACGCCATTAGCAAACACCCGCAGGTCTATTGAATACAGCCAGCAATATGCAATACCACAGAGAAAATGTGAAAGAATACCAATTACATGGAATATCACCTTGGATAGCCAGCAGGCGGATATCCAGCGGGTGGATATCCAGATGGAGGATATCCAGCAGCTGGTGGATAACCCCCGTATGGTTGAGGGGGTGGGGGAGGATATTGCTGGGGTTGCCCATGTGGAGGAGGAGGATGAGTGTATCCAACATTGGGGGGCAGTGGCTGATCGAGTCGAGACATTTGCTGAACGCCTGGCACTGCCATAGCCGGTTGGGGGCCAAATTTACCGTCTCGCTTGTCCATTTCAACCTTGTGTTGTGTCTGATAATTTANAGATTACATTGATGTGCATTTGGAAGCTAGGTTATAAAATAAAAAAGATAGCAATCAATTTTTCATAGTGTAGTGTAGTGTATCTATTATTGCAAGACTTGGTTTTAGATTTTAATGGTGTTAAAATTAATTGCTGAAAAAAAAAATGAATAATTGCTAACCTGCATGCAAGCGCAAACCCTGTAAAACCAAACAATGGAGGTGCTTTAGCAAGATAATGAGGTAAAAGAAAAAAAGATCTGGACAAAAAATAAATGACAAAAAAGAGTAGTTTTGTGGCTAGAGTAGAGTATCTTACGTGCAATAAACCATATCAGCCAAGCACGACAGGAGTTGAGATGCCTCTGAGAGTTCCTCGCTCCCAACAATGCAAGCAATAATAGAGAATATGCAAGCAATTTGTTGCAGGCAGAACATGAAACCCTAGGGACAAGAATTAGCAGTTGATTAAAATTTTAAATCGAGTAAAGCCACCTAAGATCATTTCGTATATATACAATGAGATTATCGGCATATGTTTGGTGAGAGAGAGAGAGAGAGAGTACAATGATGCAATTATCACACTGCGTTGTCTGTATGTTGAATTCATCTTGCAACAAAAACCTTGTAGAGGCTACTGAATTTCCAAAACATAGCAAAACCTGAAATTGCAACATTATTAGTTAAAGAGGACCAGCAATGATCAGTAACAGAAGCAAATGTGACACATAAAAAGACAAACAATCAAAACAAAAGATTGAACTCCATTGATTATGCATAATGGATAATAGAAAGAAAGCACAAAAACTACAGGCTTTAAGATTTCACATTATACCCAGAAGCAAAAGATCCCGTTTCTTTCTATTTTAGGATCACACAACCACATCCAAAATGATGGAAACACGTACCCACCAAGATCAAATGGTCAATATACTAAGGCAATACCTGTACTGTGTTTTCTTGAGCAATATCGCCATAATAAACTAAAGATATACACAATTACAAACACTGTAAAATCAGGACAAATGAAAGTTGGACATGATAAATAAAGATGAACCTCTTTACTACTCCCTTCATCCAGCAACTGGTGCTTTTAAAATATTATCAATATGTTTATATCAATTTAGCAAACAAACTCAAGCTGATACAGTACTACAGCAGGAAAAAACTGTAAACTAATGTTTGACGCTTTATCAAGGATGAACAAATAGTAATGATAAATCCCTTCCATTCATACATATATTCTCCACAAAGACATTCTAGAGACCCTAATGCAATGGCCAACTGGCATAAATGTAATCTATTTAACTGCCACATTCTTGAGTTAAAATATTGAGACAATTCACATTCTTGAAAGAAATATATTGATCCTTAACAGAAGCCATAGAGAAATAAGATACTTTTTAAGTATATATTTAGTTCAATACATGAAGCTCCCTCATGAATTTATTTTGAATAGTGATCTGAGAAATGACAATTTAACAAATGAATCTCCATTTTACCTCAGTTGCAAGGCATAACTCAGGGCAACGACTTTCTCCACACCGACCACTGCACGGCATATATCCAGCACAGCACACGTATCTATTTCAAACAACAGCAACCATTCAGGAAACCAAGAAGTCACTCGGATCACAAATAAGAAGGCAAGAGAATTTTAGTTACCTGGACATGTCATTGTACAGAGCTCTTTTGCGGAGCATATACGAGACGCAGGGACCACTGTAATTTCGAGGCACAGCAAAATCAAAATATGGCACTCAACAAACTAAATGACAGATATTTGCCAATTATGCAAAACAAAACACGAGCACGGGCAAAGCCTTTCTTTCCACAACATGTCAATAAAGAATGCACATGCTTGAAACATATTACACATAAACACAAAGCAGAGTCCCAAAGGTAAAAGTAAAACTCTGAAAATGATTTCATGGACTGAGTTTCAAAACTGATTCCAGATCACATATAGTTTGACCAATTCAAGTACGAGCGGAAGTGATCGTCCACACCAAGAATGTTGATAGGACATAATAAGACATTTTAATCCCAAACTACAGTTATGGGAAGAATAAAAAAGAAAGAAAGCAATCTTCCAAGCGCGGACGAGAAAATGATTTCTTTAAACTAATTTTCAGGACATAAAAAAGAGAATAAATTATTAAAGAAGCTAGTGTCATGCCATGTACATATTTCTCATCGTTTGGCCGACTTTATTACATTTGAAGAGTTCTTAGCAGTCTTAATATCACATGAATAACAGCAATATTAGAGTCTCCTTTTACCAAGGGACTCATTGAACACCTATATATCAGGTTTAACATACAGATATTTTGAATCTTCTAGTATTCATCAAATATATGCAGGAAAATTCGAAACGGTCCATATTATACTAAATAATATGGTATTGGTGGTGCCAATTTTGTAAAAGGTTTTGGACTATGAGGTTTACTGCATCAATATCTCAAGGATAATGGCCATCTACAAGGAATCACAGACTTCGCTAGGCATCAAGGTCTTGATCAAGAGCTACATGTGTAAAACTAGTTCAAGAACACTGTTGATTTCATGTTACGTGATAAAAACAACCTATAATCTAATGACTTCCTGGCAAGTAAACTAATAGTAATAGGACATTATTGGTTGCCGACATGACCTTGCAATGGTGAACAATCCTACCCAACAAATAAGAAATGATGACAGTAAACAATATGTTAGTCAAAAACAGTTTCCTGTGATAAGATTTAACAAGATTGAGTGACTATATGCCTCAAGCTGGATAGTTCATTGATCAAAACTCACTCCAAAGTCCAAAATAATCCTTCAAGAAACATAAATATATAGGTGAAATTAAACTAAAATTACTTAAAAGGAACCCGATCCTGCAAACTCCAAAAACCAAGCGAGCTAACTACTGAACCTATAAAACTTGGTATTTAGAACGTTAAAGCGAAACAGATTAATCAATTATTAAGAAAAACACACCAAACCTGAGGAATAGTGCAAACCCACAAACTAAGCTCAGATCGTAACTCTACATGAATAACAAATAATCTGGAAACAAAGAGAAAAATAGTATACAAACGAAACCTGGAAACTCCATCACTTACCACCAGAGGGACAGGCAGCAATCTGCACATAAATCAATAAAAAAAAGTCAAGAACGAAGCTCGATATTACAACAACACAACAACACGAATTAGGGTTGATACAGATTTACATACAAGGAGGATCTCGTTGAATGGTGCTCATAAGATCGGTGTGCCACAGGTTCCGATAATTCTGGCGCTGCTGCATCTTCTCCAAATGCTCCTGCGACCCCATTTTACCCTTCTTCTGCGATATCCGATCAAATGAACCTCGATGTTTCAATTTTTTTCTCCTATTTTTTTCTGATAAAATGAAGAAGACGAAGAGGAAGCGAATACCGAGAATGGGATTCAGAAAACTAAAAAAATGGATTGTTTATCTGGCAACAATGGTAGGGGCCTTTGCGGGGTCTCCTCTTCTTAATTTTTCAGTTTTCGACTTTGTAAAAAGTAAAAACTAGTAAAATGCTTGACTTTTCAAAACTCTAGTTCTAAGATTTATGGAAACTTCTAGTATAACAATTCCTTTTTTTTCTTTTTTTTTTTTTATAAAAAAATACTTCTCAAATGCACTTGTGATGCATAAGTCCAAAACCCAAAACCCTCCAATTTCTTATCTGAAACTCTTGCCTGCCTGATCTTTCGTCATGCCTCTTCTCACTCGGCTCTACTTCTCCACGATTTTCGACCGACACCTGACTAGGCGACGCGCCTCCAACCGTAAAGTGGTCCCTTCGAACCAGCATGAAGTCTTCCTCTTCCGAATGGCAATGGCGGTTCTTGGAGTGGTCTTCCGACGGTGGATGGCGGCGTTGTTGGCTCCGACTGCTGCCTACAAGTGGTCCAAGCAGAAATTTACGATTTCTTCTCCCTTGCGTTCTGCCCTCTCTTGATGTTGGGGGGATAGGTCCGAGGCCGCCGGTTGATGTGGATGGAGGGGTTTGGTCTGCTGTGGGTTGGGTCTAGTCACCTATAGCTTTATTGGAGGTTCTAGATCAGTCCTGGGCTTTCTGTCTTCTTGAGTAGTCGCCTTCAGGTGTTGGTTCGATGGGTGGAGGTCGGCTGGTGGAAAGGGCTTTAGTTTATTTTTTAGATGTTCTTGTTTTAGGTTTTTTTTTTTTCGAAACGGCAAAATAACTCAATAACATTAAATAACAGACTTAAAAACAGATGGACTAACTAGTGCGAATCCAAACCAGAGACAAGGGAGGAACACCTCAAAAAGGTGCCCTAAATACAAATGAAGCACGGGTCAAATGAGAAGCACGGGTCTCGTCTTCGTCATCCAACTTGACCTCCCCGCTGGGAAGGAGGAAGGGAAGGACACGCAGTCGCCGGAGTCAATCATTTTCTTTTGAAAAAACAATCGCATAGATCGGAAGAGGCGGCTCATAAGTTCGCCGCCGCCATAGATGAACAAGCCTCCCACACGAAGATCACACGACGACCAGTCAAATGTTTTGAACGTATCTAGTAGGTACCATGTCTGGTTAAAAATTAAAATTAAAAATAAAAAGGAATAAAACTTCCATGAACAATAACTTGGATACTTATAAATAAACACTCTCTTCACCAATACTTGGAAATCAAATCGCCTTGATCAATACCTAAAGAGGCAATACTAAAAAATTACCTCTTCATCTATAAAAGATTATGCAGTAATTCAGNAAAAAAAAAAAAGATCTGCTTAAATTAACAATTCGTCAATTTTAACACGTCAACAAGGTATATTAACCAAAAAAAAAATCGAAAAGCCTATTCCACGTATCAACATCCCATCACACCTCCAGCGCAGCCACTTTGGCACTACGCGACCCCACGGCCACCCCCGAAGTCGAAGTCCCCATCTTCTCCTACGAGAACTCATCGACCGCCAAACACGGCCTTAGGTCACCTGGCACGTTGAAATAAGCCCAAGGCTTTTCTTAATGATAGAGTAAGCGAGGTAGAAGAAGCTCTACATGGTCAATGGTGAGTATAATCCTGGGGGGTTATTTCATTCCTTAATGATAGGAACCAATTTGGGTCATCAAATCAACTCCCGTTAAATGCTCTATTCTCATAAATAAAATATAATTTGATTAGACTAACATTCTAGTATGTTTGCAACTAAATGTGATAGTTTTAGCTATTTTGCAAATAAATATATATGACTTGTAAATATATAATAAAAAACTACTCATTGTTTAGTGTACCTGGTAATTTTCTCTATTTATATTAGCTTTTTTTATCCCAAAAAGTTAATTTTGAAAAAGCTCACTATGAGAGTGTTTTGAGAAGAGAGAATTTGTATAATAACATATCAATATAATTTTTTTAAAATAACTATACAATTCTTTATTTATCATATAGTTATTTACAAATAATTAATACCATTCGATTGTCAAATCAATTATTACAATCAGTTATCCGTTATAAGCTAATAGGCATACAGTGATATATTCCAATTTAAGTTGATTTGAGTTATACGAATATGCAATTTAAATTGTTCAAATAGTTACAATTATAAACTTATTGACTAATATATTAAAAATCGGTTATACTTTTATCAAGGATATCTTCCGACCGTGTGACATGCATGTTTGTGCATATTAACATTTTAGTTAATCATCAACAATTTCCATAAAAAAATTTTGTCTTTAA